CCGTCATCACATGGCTTTGAGCCCAAGCGGCACTTCAGGACGTTTGCCCGAGCTGCACGAGGAGCTAAGGTTGGACAGTCGACCTCGTCTGAGCCATCACGACAATGAGAACGACCGTCACAAACGAGATTCCTGGAGATACAGCTCCCACCGTCCTTGCACTTGAAATCGTCTAAGATTGGAAATTGTGGCAGAGAAGAAACCATCAGTCTTAAAAGCTGGGAGACTCAAGTTATCAGTCGAGACAGTGGTGAATACGTTTACTTCTCACATGGCTTTAGAGGCGCCCACAAAAATGCACAAGCGATACAGAGACTTTACCTTTAGAAGGACATGAGGTTACACAAAAATCCTCATCGTCTCCGTCGGGGCAGTCCTTTTTCCCATCACACAGCTGGGCCTGCGAGAGGCAGACTGACGTGTGTCGGCACAGCACAGAGGGTTCATTGCAGACTGGAGTATTGGGCACTATGGAGAGGAAAGGAATTGAGCAAATTAAGAAGTATGCGAGTATAAATGTGTTTTTCATATAACTGTTCTCTACCACAAATTTCTATGTCCGTGTGCTTTGAAAAACTGTTGCCGTCCTCGATGAGTGCCAATTCTGTTTTTACTTTGTTCATGCAAATGCCGTGTGCCACTTAAGGATTATTATCAGAATAGAAAAGTCTCATAAAAAGTTTGTCTTCTTCAATATATTCCTGCTGTGTGATTCCTGCATGATGACCGCAACACATTGACACAAAGACTAAGCAGCAAAAAAAGAAAAACTTCAACAGAAAATCCAAGAAAAGAAAATACTCAAACCTGATTCAGGTAAAAATAACAGTGTAGAATGAATAAAAAGCATGCAGCGGTATCCATACGTTTATTCCCTCTGTGACAGATTGACTTGGTCTGACCTGTGCTGACGTCCGCGAGTGCAGCGATTACGCCAAACACACGACCTCTCACTGTCATGTCTCGGACAAGGCTCCCATCGCGCCGGTCCCACAGAGTCATGACATCATCAGAGAGGGACAGTAGGAAGGGCTCTAGAGCAGCCACGATTGAGCCCGAAATGTTCCATCTCCGGCCGGCTCGGTGGCTTCTTTCCTCCAGCAAACTCATCGTTGTCAAACCTGAAAAAAAAAAAAAGAAAAAAAAAAAAAAATGTGTGAGACCCAAAACTCATTCAACAGGCCTTTACTGTGGAAATATACCATCCGACATCACCAGATTTAAAGTTCTTGACTGTTTGAGCCAAAGTAACAGTTTTGATAAACTGCCTAACCTTAGTAGTGACTCAAAGCATTGTTTATTACTGCACCGTAACTGGAGAGGCCTTTCGGCAACAACATTTTAGCGCTCTGATCTACGGAAGTCACCGACTGACCTGCCCCTTTTGAGTTCCAGAGCAGACTATTAGCCCTGAGGTCGAAGGCGACATTCCCCCCGACTCCTCCTGCTAAGCGCACTAGCTCTTTGGCTTTGCCTCCCATCATGCTCATGGTGAAGACTCTGTCTTCCTCCAGCCAGAGGATGACCCCCCTCAGCCAGTCCAGATGCAGGTCTCGGATCTTGTTCGCCGTGTGGTACAACTGACGTGGGTATCCACCGTCGGCCGTGGTGGTGCCGATGCCGTTATGGTCACATGACACCCAATAAAGGTTGCCCTTCCTCTGGTCTATTTTGATCAGACAAACTAAAGAGGGAAACAAAGAAGTGGAGTAAATAGAAAGTGTGCAGAAGGATGTAATAAGACCAAGCAGCCAGTCGGTTGACGGCATGTACTGACCATCATGTACAGCTGAAACTAACAATTGATTCTACCAACCATTAATCCATCCATTCATTTTTTTATTAATTCATTAATCATGTAATCTAATAATTTGTGTTGGAACAAGGACATGCGAGGCATTTTGTTTCGTAAACTATTTGCTTAATCCATTTGCCATTTTCTGTCAAGTCATAATACGGTGAATATTGCTCTCAGTTACCCATCTCCGTACAAGCCAAGGAAAACTGAAAGCATTAACCTGGCAGAGGTGTTGGGACCACTTCAGTCTTGACGTGGGTTAGACTGGTGCGTTGGATGTGGCCAGTTTCGTTAGCCCAGTACAGCCACTCTCTGTACCAGTCCAGATCAAACGACAGGATGCCGTCGGCAGTGGTAAACAGCTGGATTTCAGTGGACCCTCTGCCTCCAAACTCCAGCATGTTGATGGTGCTGATGGTAGCATATACAAACCTTGGATCTGTGGGACAAAAAGGACCCACACATTTTTATGATGCCCTCACGCTTAGAGTTATAAAAAGGACCAAAAAAAAGAAAAAAAAAAAAAAAAAAAAAAAAAAAAAAAAAAAAAAAAAAAAAAAGGGGGGGAGTTAATCCCATGATGGCAAGAAATATTCTGGCACGATATGATGCAATTCATGGAAAGGTAAAGTTATGGTGAACCTACATTCACACGTCCCATCCAGCATCAGCACTTTGGAGTTTGGACAAGCGCAGGTGAATCCATCAGGGCTGCCTTTAGTTAGCTGGCAGAGCTGACATCGAGTCTTTACACATGCAGAGGAACCTTTTTGAGAAACGCCACAAGACATTTTGAAATGAGTACCATTATCAGGCGTGAAAGAAACAACTATTACGACTAAGAAAGATGTATTGATACAATCTAGTATTGAAATACATTGTCTGCAGTTTATATTGAATACTTTATTAGTAGTAGTACCTTGAGGCTGCTGTAGCTCATGGTACACGGCTAATATTGGCAGAGTGCCTTTCCAGATGAATTGCTTCTGGTTTGGTTGGTTCTGGGGAACCTGCCACAGTCCTTTCTCATCCACCCAGTAGAAAGAGTTCTCAAACACAGCCAGGCCGAGAGCAGGTTTCCTGTTGAACAGTCCTGTGAAGGAGTAACCGCCTGTCCCGTCCACCTTCACCGTCTCTATGGACTGAAAAGAAAAATAAATTCATGTTCACGGTATATATGAAGAACAACAAACATGTTTACAAAATTCATCCATACTGACCAAACTTAATAGCTTAGGGTAATAAATTAACTCATGCCAACTAAGGGAAGCAATTCCTCCACCCTATATTCTATTCATTCATGACCTTAGAATTAAATGACGTAGACTGGGCCATGCCACCCAACCTTGGAACCCGTGCGTTTCCTACTATAACAAACTACTGCTGTGAAAAAAGGCCTACTATGCATCATAATTCTGTACATCTAAGACATTACATAATGCATTTAACGCATGTACACCAGCGTGTGTTTGTCTAGGTTTTCCCTCCTTAACTCACCTTCTTGAAGTCGCTGATCCAGTAGAGCCTCCTGGCAGCCACGTCAGCAGTGAGGCTGTGTGCCAACTGAGCAGTGAGCACAGTCAGAGTGCTTCTTTCCGACGCGTCCATCCACGACTTCTCTATCGTCACTCGGTCACTGTGACCAGCACTGATCCAGAACATCAAGCTGGGAGGCAGAGGGGAGAGAAGTCGAATAAGCGCGACCCAGCGTAGTGTCGCCTCTTTGGGTTCATCCAGGATGGATGGATTTTCATGCATGATGTGTGCGCAATTTTACTCAATTTTCCATGTGCCATGTAAATAAAAGCAGATTTAGCATTCACTGGGGCCAGGATGACCATTTAATAATACAATATTTCAAATGTGATCACTGTAAATCCTATGTAGCGACAGACAGAATAAGTAGCATACCTCTCCACGGGTATCAGCACCAACTCTGACGGGCTGGTGTTTTTGCTCAGCAGAGTAGTGTAACTTTTCCCATCAGCTGCCTGCATGTAGATCGACTCAGTCTTCTGATTGGTCCAGAAAAGGTTTCCATTCAACCAATCACAAGCGAGACCCTTGATTCCAGGCTTCCCTGTTAAATAAAATTTAAAAAAATATCAGAAACCAATCATCAAATTTTGGTTCAGAAATGTTGCTTTTTCTTCTGCACTTGTGGTCCAACTTTGAATGGGGATCAAATGGATTTCATGACGGGTCACAGAGTTTGGGGCTTTTGTGCAAAAGGTATCACGTCAAACATGTTAAGCTGGAGACAGATGAAACAAGTGTTTTTAAAAAAATAAAAATAAATAAAAAAAATAAATAACGTAAAGTTCTAACAAGATAAATAACTAGATAATCATCATTTTAGGTGATTCAGGACTTTAAAATAGTGTTCAAACAAAAATAAGGTGAAAAAAACATTGTCGAACTGGTGACAAGTGATCACAAGTAGACATCGCTACACTTTGGGGGGGGGGGGGGGGGCGCAAGCCAAAAATGTTGGGAACCACTCCAGTAGACTTATCAAAAAGAAAAAAAGTGCCATAACACGTCTATATTGCGTGTCAAAGCCAAGCTAAATCAGCGTGGCGACAGTCTTTCTATTTAACCTATTTCATGGTCTCTTGCTTCAGTCACTAAAAACATACACAGTATACAATACTTTAAAATAGATTGCATTGCTTCAAATTCTAATACACGACAAGCTGCAATCACAATAATATCTTTAAAAACACATCTTGGGTCAACTAACCAGTATAGACTGTCCAGCTGTCCTCTCCATTACTTTTGTAAATGCTGCCATGGTTGTCAGCCCAGAAGAACCAGCCTCGGGCAATGTCGAAAGTCAAGGCCACTGGGTCAGACACTGGAGCGTTGATAGCTTCAAACTGTCGAGTCTGCATATTCAACAGCCCGATAGAGCCCCACTGCACAATTAACAATCTGGTAGCATTACCTGGATGCATGGATAGAAATCAGGGCGGGAAAAAGGGCACCGTTAGTGTGAATACTTGAATTGGAGTAAGTTTCACTTCCTGGAAGTTCAACATAAGGGATTAGTTCTCACATCACTCCCAAGATAAAAGTAGAAAGACACTTGCAGAGCGTTAAAGTTAAAACATTCATGAGAAATATCACCAACTATATTTGAGAAGAAAAAAAACCTCATGCAATGTTTTTCAATTTCATCTTCCTTTTATTACCAAAGAAGCGCTGAAACTCTATTTTGATGCAACCTGCTCGATCGCTTGTATCAGATGTTCCGTCTTTGATCTTGTTGAACTATTCTTTGTAGCTTTTGTCATCAACTGAGCCACATCGAAGTGGCCCATTAGCACATCACTAATCTTTTGTCCAAGTGCACTTCATGATGTTTGCGGTTGGTTTTGATCTTTTCAGAGGATGAAACTAAATCCAAAGTAGGCTCGCATCATACAGTTAATCTGATCACCGGCTCCCCAACGATCACCAGCACTAGATTTGTACTTGCATGCGTCAAAATGGTCTTGCAGTACTCCTTGTGATCCCAGGCTCAAGATTAAGCCGAGTTGGTACCAAACAAGGCCGACAAGAGACAACCCCACCGCATTACCTGGAGCTAGACATACGGAGCCTCCATTCAGTTCGAAGCCCTCTCTGCAGTGGCAGTAGTAGGATCCGACAGTGTTGGAGCAGTGATGCAAACAGGGGGCAAAGGGTTGGGCACACTCATCCAAATCTGAGGGGGGAGAGTGAGTTTTTAGCTTCATACGCATGAGCTGTGCATCAAAAACAGATTTAGAAAGAGACGATGATACAGCTGCAGAAGAAAGCTTAGTCTTAAAACTGTAATCTTCTCAGTTTGATAATCAGAGAGGGGGTTTATTGTCTGCTTTACATATCGAAAGTGAATAGTGTTGGCCCTACACACCTTGGCAGACCGCTCCATTGGGTGAGAGCTTATATCCAACAGGACAGGCACACAGAGCTCCCCAGGGTGCATCGACACACACGTGGCTACAGCCGCCGTTGTTTGTAGAGCAAACACGACCTGCAGGAGGAGGCTCAGCGTCACAGAAATCCATACACCAGAAGCACAGCAGAAACATTATGCTGTCCTTGATAACCAACAGTTGTGGGAAAGTCAGCATGTTACACCTACCGCAGGTTACGGGCTCATCACTGCCATCCGAGCAGCGAGTTGTCCCATCACACCTCTCTTCAGCACTCAGACACGTCCCCTCAGGACACCAGATGCCGTGCTCGCCACACAGACCTGTAAAGGGGACAGTCTCACTGTACGTTTTCTCAAACCTGCCCTGAGTGAGGCGCCAGCTGGTTGCGTCAGACATCTTTTGACAACAACTCTGATAATGCTCTTCGCACACATTCATCCAGACAGCATGTTCAAATAACTGAACAAAAGCTGTACTGGTTTAGTGCTACATTTAAAATGGCTATTGATTGTGGAGATGTGCAAATAGTTTTGGTTTCATTAAAAATAAATATCTTAATTTGTTCCAATAGCTTTTAGTTTGGTTGAGTTTTTTGTTTTCTTCCTAAATGTGTCTGGCAAAGCAAATTAGTGCATAAAATATTTGTTGAAGACCAGGCTGGACTGAAGACATCTCAAATATTGTTTATAGCAATACCTGGAAAATATAAATCTGCATTTTATTTCTTACACTGTTTTTTAATGTTTTAGTGAATGTTCTGAATTGTTTTTAAATCTCCTTTTCTTTTGCCTTATGTTTTAATGCTTTTAATAGTTTTATGTGAAGCACTTTGAATTACCTTGTTGAAATGTGCTGTACAAATAAACTTGCCTTACAGTACATAATAGGAAGCTACAATTTCTTGTAATTTGGGTGAACTGGCCTTTTAAATGTACTTTACTCTATAGTGCCCTGCAGTCCCACAGACTGACACAGCATTCAACCCTCCATCTTTCTCACCACAGTCCTCTTCATCAGAGTTGTCCAGGCAGTCATTCAGTCCATTGCAGCGCAGGTCTTTGGGGATACAGATGGTGTTTCGACAGGTCCAGTCAGAGTCCAAACAGCCCTCTGTAGCGGCACAGTTCTCATCAGAGCCGGTGGGACACTGGTTTTGTCCATCACAGCGGGCCGACGCATCAACGCAGCCGACAGAGTCGACACAACGAAACTGACCCGGCGGACATTCAGGAGAGCCTGGAAGTGCTGGAGGGAAGAAAATCATTTAAAGCTTCCTCTTATACTGACCTTTGAATCAACACAACCAAACACACCGCTGGTAACATGACAATCTGTAACTTTTCCCAACATGGAAAACTGGAAATATGACTCGTATCACCAGTTAACTGCGGGAAACTGATTTTGCACCTGCCTTCTAATAAAACTTGCATTTCGGTTGTGATCGATTTGAAGCAGTTTGTTCACTGAAGTGTGAAATACAAATAAACCTGCAGTCATTTCTGCTGATTCTACTGCAAGCCCTATTAAATGTGGTGTAAACCATTTCAGACTCACAAGAAAACAAATAGCTATGGTGAATGAATATAAAGCAATCAAGGCCAATTTATTGTTGCCAAGTGTAAAGAACAGTTATTTTGCACAAGGACAGGAAGTATATCTACCAGTGCAATCCATTTCATCCGATCCATCCAGACAGTCTCCACCTCCATCACATCTCCAGACATCAGGAATACAGCTTCCATCATCACACTGCCACTGGCCGTGATGGCATCCCAAAATTTGACCTACACACATAAAACAAAAAAGAGAGACAGAGACCAACAGTAGGACAAAGAGGAAGGCTTAGAAAATACAACTCACTGGGGTAGTCCAAGTTACACACAGGACGAATTGTAAAAAGCCAACTTCAAACAGAATTGTTAAATAACAGTCTATTTCACCAGGACTTAATTCTAGACAAGAAAAGCCACAGACAAACACCTATGTATACTCACTGAATATTGCAGTATGAGAAAAAACAATGACATTAAAGACCAAGGAGGTCTTGTGTTAAAACTCTTCTCAAAAGGTCACCATAGGCCTCGAATGTGCAAACAGAAGGACAGGTGTGATACTCACTTGCAGCACGGTCTCTTTTAAAATCGGTTTTACCCAAACATGTTTAGTCGCAAAGCGGTCATAGAAACATGGAGAACTTTGACTTATTGAAACTTGTGCACAAATATGACTGGCTTGAATTAAAATCCCAAAAAAACAAAAAAAAAACAAAAAAAAAAAAAAAGTGACCCTGAACTCATGGGGTCCAGGAAAATACGCCATGTTGCCTCGTTCATGTTTAGATCAAGAGAAAATTGCAACACGCTCCAATTTGTTAAATGACTTACACACATTCTCGCTTGAATTAAATCACACAATTGCCTTAAAAACGTATTCATATTTAGCTTTGTTTTTTACCTGGGGAAATGCTCAGACTTGCCAAAAAAATCGTGCAAATGAACTGGCAAAAGTCCATCTCAGCCCGCGTGCCTCGTCGGAATAAAAAGTGTGACGTGAGAGGAACTGCTTTTATCAGCTGCCACTGCTGCAGGTGCGCGTGCAATCAGAGACGGATCCCTCAACTTCCGTTACCAAATATGAAAAAATTATCAAAATAAAACCTGTCGTATGGAACACTTGATGCAATTGAATGTACTATTTCATTATTCAACCCGTTTTTTTTTCTATTATATATTTATTTGTGTGTTTATTTATTCATTAGTATACGTCATTTCCAGGTTTCCCAAACACGCCTGTTTGGAAATGTGAATTCATTCATTTTAATTTATGTTATTTTATCAAGACGGCCTAGATCTGGTCACGTTTGAGTGATGCTCATCACACACCTCGGATGTAGTTATTGTTGTTTTAGAAAGTTTATGATTTAACGGGCGCGAACGCAGACAACATTGTGTTTCATTTTACAGAGCGCGAGCTACAGAACGACGCTGCTGCAAAACGGAGAGCAGACAGCAAAATGTGTGCCTCTCCTCTTTACTGCTTTACCTCACTTACTGATGTTACATCCACTTGGATAGGTTGTGCGCTTTTACGCACGGAACAAATCCCAGTAAAAACAATCAAAGCGTTGTAGTTCATTCTTTGGATGGTAAGTGTGCAGATTGACTTGAATGAGCAACTGATCACGTGAAATGTCTGACGTAATAATGTCCACTTTACTCTGCTGTCATCTATCATAGATTATTGGTGGTTTTTTTTTTAATATTTCGAGCTTTTACGCACGGATCGAAAGATTCTACTGATGTTGCATTTTCTTTCGAAAGCAAAACTAACAAAGTCTCCTACATGGTTGTCCCTCCTTCCTATACATTTAAACTTAGTTTCATGTTGTGACAATAAAGAACTTTCAAAGAACAAGACAAATTTAGTGCGAACGGCCTTTTTTGATTTCTTTCACACATCATACAAAAAGAATCAAAGCTTTGTAGTTGGCCATGAGCTCTTTCTTCTTTTTTTCTTTTGAGGTCAAGTGTGCAGTTTGAGTTGTTATTGAGCAACCATTAACTGGCGTGACTGAAGTCATTATTAGTCATTATTAATGTCCCTTTCATGCTGCCAATTATCATGGCAGATTTTAGACCCTGTTGTTGTAGTTGTCCTAAATTGTTGAATTATACAACTCAACTGAAGATATATATATATATATAAAAAGCATATATATACATACATATATATACATACATAAAGCGTTGTGGTCCATGGACCCATTACGTTTTCCATATAAAATGGGTCATTTACAGAAATAAGAAAAGATGTCATGACATTTTCTTAGTTTTTCTTATGTGATGCAATATGGTGTTTATCTATTACTGACAATTAATTACTCAGTTATTTAAAATGTTCATATATGTTCCTGTTCAGTTCCAAATTTAAACTAAATTCTATTATTGTCGTTGATATATGTATTTAGGTAAACTGTATCACCTTTAGTTGAACACATATATTGTCTGAATAGCGTCTTTGTAACATATTTAAGGCTATTGTATTGATTTATATCCAATTAAAACTAAAGACTGCACATGGACTTGGGCAATGATCTCGTAGGTTATAGTAAGTTTCTGTGTACCCATCAAAAAGACAAAATGGCAAACAGTTGTGAGTTATTGCCCTTAATTGGGTCCCATAGTTTAATTTCCTTCGCTCTGTCCCAACAGGCTCCAACAGGTCAAGCCCCGCGCAACACAAAGTGATTTATGATTAACTCCCGTGTTACTTCCTCATTAATCACAGCGCAGTTGTGCAACTCTTAATCTCCTTAATTTATATTAGTGTCATGGCTTCTTATCAAAGGGATCTTTAATATACAACACAACGAGAATCAGAGTGGCGCGCGTTTACAGTTATCACACCCCTGCTACTACAAAGCAAAGAAGAAGTGGTTTCGATACCAAACGACGTGTCACATCTAAGTCTTTGAGCGCACCCGTGGATCAAACACACCCTTCGAACATGTGTAACTTGACAGATCTCTTCAAAGGACGTCAGGAGAGATGGGTGTGACTATAAATCCGAGTCGCAGCATCTCACCTGGAGCATTTGGAATCTACCTGTGGAAGGGACAACACCACACTTTGGAACAATGAAGCGACCAGCGGTGGATTTCTCTTTTGCACTCCTTCTGGTGGATTTGGTTCTGGGTCTCGCCGCACAGCCCTTTCCTGGGATGCACCCTGACGCACTGCTCCGTGGGATGAGCGCCGGCTCCAGACGCACAGTGCGCAGGCAGCAGCAATCTAGCAGGCTGCCCCTCTACATGATGCAGCTCTACCGGACCATGCTTAACGAGGACTGGGATAAGACTCCGGCTGCCAGCGTGAGCCACATCAGGGCGGAGGACAACCCCGTTCTGCAGGCCTCCGACTCTGTGGTCAGCCTTGTCGCAAAGAGTGAGTAAATAAATATTAAAGATGGAGGTTGCAATGTGTTGTTCTATTTAAAACATAAGGAGAACTTTGTGGTTTCCTTTGACACATACCACAAATATGTGTTGATTTATTTTACTCAACTTAATTTAATCATTTGTCTAATCAAACTTGATGATTGGGAATAAAAGCTGTGAAGTCATCACATGTTATGAGAATGTGTTCTTGCTGATAAATATTATGCAAGACCAGAGCCAAATGACGTCTTTTTCTTGTAGGTCATAACTAATAACCAATATTCTCTACTCTTATTTCTTTCAGGCTGCGGGCAGATTGGCAAGAGGTGGTCTGTCACCTTTGACATGTCCTCCATGTCTGCAAGCGACAACATCCATCTGGCTGAAGTTCGCATCCGCCTGCCCGCCTTCACCGAGTCTCCCAGGGCCTCGGTGGACATCTACCACTCCCACAGGGGCCGATGCCCTGGCACGCACTGCCCAGAGAACAGGCAGTTCTTGGGCCGCCTGGTGGTCTATCCCGGTTCCATGGTCTCCCCCTCCTCCTGGAAGGTGCTCAACATGACGGAAATGCTCCATCGTTGGCTGCAGCGGGAGCAATCCACGCACAGGGCGGAGGAGGATGAGGCTGAGGTGAGGGAAGAGCAGGCAGGAGTCGGACACCCTACAGCCAACCGAGTTATGATGGTGGTCTTCTCAAGGCAGCACTCGAACAGCCAGCGAATGCCGACACTCATCCGCACAGCAGAGCACTCCAAATACGTCAGCCTGGACCGTGAGAGTGGCTCTGGGTCCAGGCAGAGGAGCCGCAGGTCCAAGAGGCACCCTGACACCCAGCAGCAGCGACAGAGAGTGGCCGGAGCAGCTCCTGCCAGCAGGCCCTCGGAGGAGAAGAAGGGTCCTCTCTGCAGGAAGGTGGACATGTTGGTGGACTTTGCGAAGCTCGGATGGAGCAAGTGGATCGTCTATCCCAAACAGTACAACGCCTATCGCTGTGAAGGGAGCTGTCCCACACCAGTAGATGAGACTTTCACCCCAACCAACCATGCATACATGCAGGTAAGGCTGACTTTGAGACAGACACCTTTACTTTATTGTAGAGTGTTCGCTGCTAGGGGACATACGTAGGAATGATACACTAATACCCTTTACAAGTGTTCTAATCAATCATTATTTGTCCCTTTCTCTATCCAGAGCCTTCTGAAACTTCACCACCCGGACAAGGTGCCGTGCCTTTCCTGTGTGCCAACGCGCCTGGCATCGCTTTCCATGTTGTACTTCGAGAACGGGAAGATGGTCACGAGGCATCACGAGAATATGGTGGTGGAGGAGTGCGGCTGCCACTGAGCAAAAAGACCTGAAAACCTTTCAGTCAAAAGGTCAGATAGACGGACTCTACTCACAGAGTGGATGGATGTCCCGGGCCACAGAGATGTCCAGTTTGACACTGGGACAGAGGCTGCTGCTGAGGTGAAGGGACATTGAAGAAAGGGACTACTGTATATCCTGGACCCAGCTTTCTACATTATGGATTTTAAAAATCAAGAGTTCTATATTGCTGGGGCTTTTTTTTGTAGAAGATTAGGTTATCTTAATTATGACTTGGATTGCAAGTGGATGAGCTATAATTCAAGTTTTAAGGATGGATTATGGTTGTGGATTGATCCAGTCAGGATGGAACAAGGCAAAGGCAAAATATGGTCGCTGACTGAAGCACTCTAGAAGATTCACAAACGAGATAAGCAACAGGTCTTATGTACAAACAGTGGACTGAAGACAAATGCAAATGTCAGAATGGTGTAAGCGCTTTTAACTTTATTGAAATGTTTGGGTCACATTGACCCATTTGAATGTTTGCTATGTACAATGATACAATAAATTATTTTTTATCTTGACAAAAGTGTTTTTTGGTTTTTATTACTCTGGTCATAAAAAAAAATAATAATTGTGAACACGAGACCTTTTTCACGGCAGACATGTTTTACTTGTTTTAGCAGGAAATGCACAGGTGTAATTGCTCATTGCCAAGGCTTACTTGTCATCAGTAGCCACGGCGCGAAACCTGCTGAAATATGTGCACCCGAGTTGAAAAATTGTGAACCGGTCCTTCAATATTTTTCGGTTTCAGAAAAGAGACTGGTTGGTTTCCAGCAAAAATAAAAACTTAAACACCAAACAGCAGAGTGACAAAGTTAGCAGCCAGCTGGTGAACATAGTGGAGCATTTAGCAGCTAAAGAGACAGATATAGTTTGCTATCAAATTGGCTCCATCAACTCAAAACTCTATGCCGCCAAGTGGCAGCAGAAACAAATCAATTATAACTGATTTATAAACATCAGATTTCCCAAAATATCACCAGTGCTAAGACTGTTACTTTACACTGAGTTCCATACTTCAAGTAATGTAGTCGTACATTGAATATTTTAAAGATGTGGTTAAAAGTCCTCAAATCACATAACATATTAATGGTTTAATCACAATAAGACTTTGACTTGCTTCTCAAATATGTCACAGGTCGTACAAAGCCAAACAAATCATTTCATGCATTAGTCACAGTAGTGTTGGTTTGTAAAGAACATTTAAAACACATTAAGAAAAAAAAATAAAAATGCCTTCTTGTTTTCAGAACAAATCTGAAAGTGGATTATGCAGCTCAATAAGACTCGGCTTCTCATTTCAACTGAGGATTTCTTTTTTTCATCTTAGTAAACGAAAAAAAGTAATAAAAAAAATGTTGGGAATCACTTCTGTCCTTGCAGCCGACTCTCCTCAGATGTCCATTTCAAACTGGGCATCTTCAAGAGAAGGAGAAGACATTGTAGTTGAGTAGAGGGAAGGAGACAATTAAAGATACGCATGAAGGATGGCAGCTCATCTCTCTCTCTCTCGTTCACATTTTAAATATACAGATACGTCTTTACCTGCGTTGTCCTCTGTGATATTGCTGAGTGTCGGTTCAGGCTGGTTTGTGTGGTTGGAGGAGTTGGGTTTGAGCAGACTGGTGACTCCGGGGATGTCGGGCAGATTGGGAGGCGTGCGAGCCAGAGGAGACATCCGACACTGCAGGAGGAACTTCCTGTCGTAGATGATTCTGGTGCCTGCGGGCAGCAGCAGCGAGAGGAAACCAAAGTTACTTACCGTCAATATTTCATCACTACAGTATGGTGAAATGTCGTGCAGCAGCGGTTTTCATATTGCACATTTAGTTTCGTGGAAAAGTTTATACTAATACTGAACTTTATATTTTGGCTAGACTACCACAGCACCCTTGTAACTGGTTTAAATGATTACAATTAAATCAAATATGGCCGCTAATATCAACATTAAATAATTGTAACTAGTTAAAAAGGACAAAATAAAACAGAAATCAATCAAATAAAATCCAGTCACTAATCTCAACATCAAACACTCTATTAAAATGAATTCAGCGGCTATCATTGACATTAAACCACCTCCACAGTATTGTGGAGACCTACTTTTTCTCTGTCTGAGGAATATTTTGTCCGGGCTGTATACACGTCCATACATTCCCATGACCAGCGACCTATTTGTACGTCACCACTGACCTAATTCTGTGTTTATCTGTTTAAATCTGTGCCCAGAACACAGTATCAGCTAAAATGGACATGTGCACACTGAGTCAACTTTCTCACAAGCGCGGAGAGAAAACATGTTTTACTTCCCAAGGTGTCAAGCTTATAGATGTTTTAATAAAATACTGAACATATGGTCCAAAACTCAGCGTGATTATGAGAGTGAGACTGGCTATTAGTCATAGTTGTTTGCCTAGACAATAGTTATATCAATGCACATCTCTTTCTATGTATACATACACAAATAATGGTTGGAGGGAGAAAGTTTGATTGTTTTTAGCAGCTTGTGTTGCATTCACAACACATAAGGTAATTATATAGCTCAATTCTTTCCTCTTTAATAGGACCGGTGTGTCGTCGTGGAGCAAACACCCAGTAAACATGTTGCTGCAGCTCAACAGCAGCCTGCTGTAAAACCAAGACTATAAATAGGATCTGGCCTATATTTGACCATACAGTCGTTGATTGTGGAAGTATTCTACAGCTACAGGCTCCTCAAACTGAATTCAGTTTGCCATTCAGAACTGACTGATGCCAAACCAATGAATGTTTATTTGCATAAAAAAAAAAAAATCAAAAAAAACTGAAACAGGGGTTCTTAACAGATCATCTTCAGGGGCCTTAAATTAGTCAGAAGGCCGTCAGACACACAATACATTTAATTGAAATGGAAAAATGTAAATCATGTCTACACACTGACTTCAGCCATTAGTGTATATGAAGAAATAAATCAGCATAAAGCCACTGTGGAGAAGATGAAACGAAAGCATTAAATATCGATTGGCAACAGTTTTAACGATGCACTCCATTGGCCTGTTAATCAAGAGACAGACGGATGTCATCTGTAACAACAGCCTTATGTACAAAACCCACAATGCAATGTGCAGACTGCATGATTTCGGTGCAGAAGACCCCTCTAATAGGATTCCTTTAAGTCCGCTAACAGGTGGTCTTTAGCCTCCAGGAAGCACGAACACTGTGAAACATTAACAGGACGACAGACCACAGACCTGTGGACAAGACCCACAAAAAAAAATAAAGGTGGAATCTATAAATTGACATGGTTTTATTCAATGGTTGGCCTCGTGCAACAGAGATGGCAAAGCTGACTAATACACTGTGTGATGGGGTGGAAATAACAGGCACCTTTCTGGGTCATACCTCTACTCCCTGTCTCCAGATCATAGTGGTATTCTTAAATAAAAACACTTAAAGATCTAAAAGTCAATTTAAGTGTCCCTTTAAATCTGTTTTTCTTACTGACTCCTTTCTTAACCCTTCGTTTTTGACTTTCTGATAAGATTCAAACTGTGTCCAATCTTTTTGACCCAGGCCCAGCACGTTACCTCCCGGCGTAGTGCTGAACAGAGTCCCCCCTGGAGTCGTGGAGTAGTCCTGGGGCATGTGGGCAGCGTCGTGGATGGTGACCCGTCTGACGGCCGGGATATCCCGGCCCCCGGTGGTCTGACCTCCCGCTGACATCTCTCGCAACACCGTGTCGGTTCGTGGTCTAGTCGCTAAACGCCACAAGCGGGGAGAGTCGCTCGAAGTGTGAAGGACGTTACGGAGCTACTGTCAGGAAGCAGGAAACGCTACGGTGTGCCTCCACGTGGTGTGTGAGCACGTCAAAAACAACTCACGGACCGCCTTCGAAAACAACACGTGGAGCGGAGAGCTGTGATTGGCTGAAAACAGGGGGCGTCACAACACGTGGAGGTTGTAGTTTTTCCACGTTTCTTCCTAACCTGCAGGGAGCTCTATTACGCCACAGATGAGGCGATGATAAGAACAAGAACAAATCTGTGGTGGACAGTTATATGAAAAACAGTGTATTCATAGTAAATATACAATATTATAACCCAATCAAATGTTGCATACATGCACTACTAATATTCATTAAAAACAAACACATATTATTACAAACAAAACAGCAAAATCAGAGGGCATCGTATAATTATTATTATGAAGATGGACCCATATGACATATGTAAATGTGAATTCATATGAAATTTCTTGAACAAGGCTATGGAATAGACTCATTTCAAGGAAAAGTACAGTGTTCAGGTGAGACACTTCCAATTATTTGCAGGTGTAAACTTGATTGTTTAGTCAGTACCGAGCAGCTGAAATGTTGTGTCATGCAAAAATGTCAACTATCAAACATATATTGGAAATAGTTTCCAATGTCTTAGGGAAATATGAGGTATTTTGGACCCACAAAATAAAGCATAACTGAAAAGAGAGACCACTTCAAACTTACACTGAATATACAATTGTCCCCCTCGGAACATTATGGCAGAAATAAAGAAAACAGGCGCAAAACAGGACACAACATTTATGTCACATCTTTGTTTATTAATTCTTGTAAATGGTTTGAGCTGGTGTACAGGGTAAGATGAACTATACGTATCTTCATGTCAGAATGACTCTGATTGAAAGGCTTGTATACATATTCACGTTTGTTTATCCTCTCTCAGGACAATACAAAAGAAAAGAAAACAAGTGGTCATAGCTACAAAGCCTCTACATTCCCCATGATGCGGGCGTTGGCCTACTCTAGATAATGCTTAAAGAACATCCATAACAACTCTATGAGGGTGCATAGCATTCTAATTAAATATATTTTGTCATATATTTATACATATATTTTCATAAAAACATCTTTTTTTTGTGCATGTGCGCAGTTGCATTCCTTAGGATAGAGTAATATGATATTGCGTTTACATTGTCATGTATCCATTCTAAAGGAGTATAGGTGATCTCTATTCTTTCGCGACAGTTAAAATTTTACAATACTCTTTTTTGTCTTTTTTTTTTAAAATACATCGTCGAAGGTTACACGTCCTCTCAAGTCACAGGTCTGGTAAAATCTCTCTTCTTCCCACTGATCCAACCAGGTTTGGAACCAATCACCATCTCACACACACTCACACACACACTCACTCACACACAAACATGGTGGAGTTGAATTTACTATAGAGCACCGTCTCATTGAATAGTTTGATTCAGAAGTTATTATCAAACAAAAGGACGATGGCTCAGAGTTTTATAAAACTTACGATTTTAGTCCTTGTTGATTGGGCGCCATGACGTGTATCAACCATCGGGGGCAGAAAACAAGCCGTGAGAGGCTGCAAGGGGCCATCGTTAGCATTTTAGAAATACTGAGGTCATGAGTCCTGTCCTCCCTAACAAAACTCTCTTATGCAATTTTCATAATCCACCAAAGAAAAGGTTGATCCCACATGTAATTATTGGTTTAATGTCCAATAATAATGTAATGCACAACCAAAGGAGCTCTATGCTGATAGGGTTCATTCTAAAGACTAAAGAAGGCAGTCAACACTTTCATCTGACATTTGTTTTTGGTCTTCCGACTCACATCGAGCTCACGTTTCGTCTCTTGTGAATCCTTCTTGCCTGGGTATGCAGTTAAAACCCCACGAGGGAAAGGCGGCCTCTGCCACTAACAAAGAAACAATTCTATATATTGTAGAGAGGTCCAAAGAGAGGTCCTAAATCCAACCTCTTTCTTGTGCTGATACAGTACAAGATGCAGAGACTAACTAGTCGCTTTGGAGATTGAGGAGGGAGTCACCGCCCTCCCTCCTCGATCACATCTATCATGTTCTCTCAACTGCACAGCTTCATCTGACGATGTAGAGAATTTTGTTTTGCATAAATTCATACGGTCTTGTTTAACTTGGTTTACTTCTTTGTAGAGGGAATAATGCTTTACCAAAACCTTTTTTGGTTCATTTTTGGCTCTCCACGCAAACTTGCTGAGTGGTTACTGAAGCACATGCTCTACTTTGTTTCCTCTTTGGTCTTATTTGAATCAACCACCACACACACACACACAATCACACACAGACCATCCTGCTCCATCCGACCCCCCCCCCCCCCCAAGGCCTCCCGTGTATCCCCATCCGGCCCCAACAACCAAAGTCTCATTCAGAAGCACTCGCTTTGTGTCCCACACTCGTCTTAGAGAGGAGGACTCGGAACTTAAAAAAGGAAAACACTTTGATTCTGACAGAGCAGAACTGAAAACCTGAGTGGAGTAACAGTGGAAAACATGTGATATGTAATAAACATGTGCTATATCGGATGAGGCTCTCATGTGTGCGGACCGGGCATGGAAAACAACGTGCATTTGTGTGATGTGCAACAAATGTATTAATTCATCTGTTCTGTCACTCATTCAGGCTACAGTAACATATACAGTACTTAAATATTGTGTTTTTTGATAGCCAGGAAAATGTGTGCTACTATGATGTGACCCCCTTCGTAGTACTGCCGTCAGCTTTCTGGCTTGAAGGAAGTGCTTCAGAGATGAGGAGGATAGTGGGTGGTTTTACAGTGATGCCGCTATCAAGTGCAACGGAAATTACACGGAAAAAGAAAGTGGAGCTCGATGGTTTCCACCTCATGGAGTCAGCGGACTCCTGGTTTATGTTTTTGCTACGTTAGGTGCTGAAAAACAAACAATCCCTCCACAGTCCCGCACTGCTAAAGCTGAATCGTCGGCTCTTTTATCATCTTCTCTGACTCCTTCACATCGAGGGCGACAGAACCAGTCAGATACAGCACAGCTGCCCGACGCCAGACTCCAACAATGTTTGTCTGGACGTTTGTCTTCACGGAGGGGGCTTCCATTTCCAAAATCCTTCCCGAAGACCCACAGGACCCTGGCTTCCATCTTCTGTGTTCTTGTTAGGTATTATTGCTGTGGCAAACTCCAAAATCGAACACTCGGACCAGGCAATAACTATTTCATTGTGATGCGATATGTTTCTGATTATGCATGCGTGAGTGTGTGGGTGTGCTTTTGCTTGTGTGTCTTCACAGTTCACGAGTCTGGGGTCAGTGTTGATAAGACAATCACAGTGCTACCATCCCATGTTACTGTACTGTAGTAGCATAATGCAATTTCATAGTTGCTACCATTGAAGCACAATACTCCAAATCACTACATCCTCAAACAAATCAGATCCTCCATGTTGTTCCCAGATCATTCACTCGGTTTCAAATCGATGGACCTAAATTTTGACGGTGAGGCACTACAGCCGTTGCAAACAGATAAAGAGCACACAAAAACAAGTTTTTAGCATTAGATGGAGGAGCTGTGGATGTTGATGAAGAAGAGGCCTGTGATTTTACTGCATATTGACTGAGGCTACTGATAAAAGACTGTGAACCGACGTGACGCGCGCTACTGGGAGAAATGACGGAAGAAGGTAGAAAAAAGGTCACCTTGGGGAAAAGCATCAATCGTTGTGTTGTAGAGCTGCTGCACAATACAATCAAGCAACCGAAACCCCTTTCCAAAGAAAACACGAGGGGTGAAAGAAATTCAGTTCCTTACTGGGGTTAGACGATACCAAATACTGATAATAATAATAAAAAAAAAAACAAGGTGGACAGGCTCCGGAAAAAAAATTTCATCCACAAAAGGAAAAAGACGACAGCGCACGCAGACAATACTCACGAGCAGGGCAACACAGAGGCTTTTCTCATTCCGGCACCGAGCGTGCCATGACATCACAGGGCCACAGAGCCAATCATTTAGGCAGGGCTCAGCGCCCAGCCATGAGGCAAGAGAAACACATGCGGTAGAGAAGAATACGCGCACACATACGCACACATACGCACACATACGCACACATACACACACATACTGACACACACTGACACATGTCCACGTAGCATAGAGTGCATATATCACATTGAGAATAATAGGGGGAAGGGGTCCAGTGAAAGAAGCATCGGTAGGCTCAGCAGAAGCTTAGATGTGTACAGAACCATCCATAGAGGGACTTTTTTTTTTTTTGGCTGTAGTGTTATTGGACTCAACTTGATGACACAAACCACTCCAGTTGGGGGGGGGGGGTTATAGGTCCTTGAAATGGCCTGTGGCCAAAGCATGGGCCAGCCCCATACCTTGTACCCCTTCAGTTTGTAGATAATGACAGTTCAAAAGGTCAAAGGGCATGCACCAGCAGTCATCATGCGATTACAGTTCACAGGAAGCACTTTTTGCTGCTTTTTTTTTTTCTTGGTTGATTTACTGACATTTATGTTTTTTTTTTTTGTAAAAAACAAACAAAAAAGAAGAAGAATCATGCCTTACTCTAGTTGATGTTTTTCTTTACAAATGTTAAAAAACTACAAGTTGAAATCCTCTTTTTTTTTCTTCTCTGTCTCTGTTTCTTTTGTGGTGTCCCATGGTCACACGTTGAGGATGATTCTGTGTTTGTCATTTTGTAGTTTGTACTTTCTTAAGTCTGTGTCTTACTCTTCCTCTCCTCCCTTGCTCATTTTCCTCTGCGGCCTGGTTGTGTTTTTGTGTAGGATGATTTGGCAGTGGCTTTCCGGTCCTAGAAAACAGAGACAAGGATAGTATTTACACACAAAACACAGGCGGAAATTCACTTGGCCCTCCAAAGAAAAAGTGTACTGAATGCCAAATCTATGGTTCTAATTTTGAACATAAATGGAAAAGAACAGCATGTGAGAGATAATTAAGCTCTAACAGAGTCCAATATGTTGCCATGCAGGCTTCTATCCAAGCACTGGGATGCACAAGTGCTTGTTGTGTGTCCCGTACCTGGAGGACTGGGTAGTGTGTGTATTTCAGTGTTTAACTCTCCGCAGACTGGTGCGCTGCGCTGACTGAGCGCCCTTTCTTACATCCACCCCCACCTGGAGCAAGGAGGGAGGGAGGAGGGAAGGAAACAACACTCGGACCAGTTAACTGCTTGAACCCCTTTACATGTAACCAGAGCAGAAAACTAACTTGTCTGTTCACCAGACAGCCACCGCGGCTCGCTGCTGTCCCTAAAATACATAGAACAAATGTGCAAGCATTTTGCCAATGAAGACAATGATGATGGTAATGTAACAATCATTTTGTACAACTATGTATTGTGATTTTTAATGTATAGACGTCTATTTTCTATTTTTAGATTACGAATTATCATGAATTCAGAATCAAAATGGGTTTGTTGTCAAATATGGGGACAAAATACTTTTGACCAACATTTGGCCGGTGGCTACTGTTCATTTCTCGCCCTTTGTGCCAGGCTATGTGACTGATTCACAGTGATCTGCTTGGGTCAACGATGTTTATGTGTGAATGTGCCTCAGTGTAAATGCTGAAAACACGACTGACTCACCCTTCTGGTGAGCACGCGTCCGTGTTCATCCACAAACTGCGCCTCAGCAGCATAGTCCTCTTTCTCCTCTCTCTGTAGAAAAAACCCACATGTTACATATAAAAAAGCAATTCAACGTACTCACATTTGAGCGACAATTAAATGTTTGCAATTAGAAATGTAAAACAAAACCAAAGGTATTGGACATGGCAGATATTCCCCATGTGTTGCACCGCACGACACATAATTCCGGTCAAGTTCTGTGACTTCATCAAAATAAACAATTTGGATGACTGTTGACTTCTTAAGTGAGATAGAATTTGTTGATGGATGTGTGCAAAAAAAATAATTCAATCGAATTGAATGATTGTCTTCCGATCTGATAATTCAAAAAAGATAAAAGGGTGGACAAAGATGTTCCCCCTCTGGGCGCAGGAAGCGGCTGGGTGGTAACCCAGACCTGGCCCCGCCTCTGCTCCCGTTCCCAAGCATGTTGGCCCGCCTCCTGGTGAGAGAAGGCCAGCCCCTTGTCAAAGGGCTGTGTGCCCAGCAGGAGGCGCTCACGCAGCAGCACATGAGAGTAACCCGTGTCACACACCGGAGTCAGCAGAGCCTCCTGGGCCACGCGCACGCCTGGCACAGCGCCGTCGCGTCCTGATGACACCGAGCCCCCCCAGCCCTGCAGGGAGTCCTTGTCTGGTATGTAGGGTTGAAATGCTCCGCCTCCAACCACGCTGGAGAGCAAAAAAAAAAAAAAAAAAGGGGGAGCGAGAAAGAGAGAGAGAGATATGTAGCCATTGTGAGAACAGATAGTGAAAAAACATTACAAAATGTATTCAGTTCGACTACAGTCATAGCCGACGTACCGGTTATCTCCATTGTGCTCCGAGGACCGACTCAGTCCTGACATCTCATACCGCTGGGCATACACCTGCTGGCCTGCAACAACAGAAATCCCTTCCACTGAACCCAACCCTACACCTCCACCTCCTCCTTTTGCTCCTCCTCCTCCTCCTGTTGCGAGGACCTCCCCTCTCCTCGCATCCAACCTCTGACCTCCTAGCTGGCCATTTAGGTTGACCTTGGGTACAGCACCACTGGCCCTCACCCTGTCCCATTCTGCCAGTGCAGTTGCTGGTTCCTGTGGCGCCTCCTCCTCCTCAACCTCCCCTTCCTCCTCCTCCTCCTCCTCCTCCTCCAGCTCCATGATGGAGCAACTGGCCCCGCTGGCTCTACTGCTCGGGCGACCCAAGCTGCAGGGAAGGGAGAGCGTGGCGCCCTCCGAGTCGTCAGCCCGACTGCTGCCGTCTAGAGACGAGTCCTCCACCGTGACCAACGAGGGGCTGACCCCTGCCGGCCACACCTGAACCTCCGACATCTCCATTAATGTGTCTTCCTCGGTGGTGGCGATCGGGGCACACTCGAGGCTGGACACTTCCTGCCAGTAGGGCTCTGAGCCCAGAGGGGAGGGCAAGCTGTACTGCATGGAGGCCGGGGACAGCAGCTCCTCCTGCACCAGCCCATAACCTGAGGGAAGACAGGGGCGAGACAAGAGAAAGACTAACACCACGCAGGCATAGCCAGGGGGGAGGATGGGGAGGTGGTGGATTGACTGTTTCTCCAACCTATGAGGAAACAGTGGGGCTCAGCTCTGTCCCAATATACCAACAAAGAGTCTTAAAAGTCTTAATAACGCCACAAATTTAGGATTGAGATATCTTTCAATCCATTTCACTTCGCGTGAAAAGAGAATGGTTCGTATTGCTTTCAGTTTGAAAAGGAAGAGCACAAGAACAATACTTGAAATCAGCGACTTTGTTTTTTCTAATGGTAATTTGATGTATTTGATTCAAGCACTTTAGGTTATTGTCATTGGGACACAGCAATAAGAGTGAGGTGAGGGTCAAAAGGGGTTTTGGTGTATCACCCACTGTCTGTGAGGTGAATGGGTGTCGGGCTCTATCGGATGCTGGCCGTGTAAGACAGTGAATCTGCAGAACATATACAGTGTTCCTTGAGAAGCGGGAAAAAGAGGTGATGCTAACGTTATACAGCATATTGATTGTGGGGTTGGCACGATATAAATGTATCATTAGTAACATCTGAGAAAAGGGTTCCAATTGGATTTTAGTATCCTGAGTTCATTAAGAGGCGGATAAGCAAACATGCTCATAAAAGCTGTTGCAGCCGCTTATGAAATTGCCACTGTTAAAGGAAGTACTGCACATTTGATATCTGACCATATGTGTTCAGATAATAATTAAAACTGTTTAAATTTCATTCTTTAGATAACTGTTAGTGTTGGCCAGCAGAGCGTGAGTGCGGCACTTTTTCCAAGTATGACAAAACATATTCTAGACAGCTGATTAAATGAAGTTGCTTTTCATGAAACATCCCAACAGCTGTGGTGCAAATACCACAGCTGCAATAAAACATCTCTTTTATCGTTCCAACCCTGGACAACATATTCCTGATTGGGAGTCAGCAGCAACATGCTAGTTCTGCAGATGGAAATGCAAGTTACTGTTGCTCTAGAAATGATTCCAGCCATGCATCTGCCGTATGTGTCCCAAGCATCCAAATAAAGGTCATTGTACACACTCACACACGCATACGTACACGCACATTGGACAAACCTATTATAATTAAAGAGTTTTATTTATAATTGATCATGCCTTTGTTTACATTGCACCATGTGTTATGTTGTGCTATTCTGTGGAGCCTCTTAAGAGTCACGGATGTTATAAATGGCTAAATCACATCGTTGGGCTAACAAACGTTATTCAAACCCTATATTGTCATTAAATCCAGACTGACACTTGAATATAATAAGCAATGTATAAACAAAATACTTTTAACACTGACGTTACATTTTTGTTCTACTTTGAGTCTATTACTAAGATGCCATTCATTGCAACAACACTAGCAAAGTAGGACACAAACACACATTATATTTAGTGATATTTATTATTTTCAGGGCAAAACAAATATGTAGTATATTAAAATATAATAATGTAATTCACATTTGTATCAAAAGTTTCTTGATTTATTACACATACAGTATAGCAACAGGTTTGCTATCTGAGTTTAAATATACTTTAGGTTTAGTCTTTTGTTATTTACTCTGAATATCAAATCATTTTTAAGATACGCAAATTTTTACGACAGATGGTATTTTTTTCTTTTGTTCACTTTTAATACTTTTGATTCCGTGGCAATTTTCATTCATTATCTATTATGTTTTAACAAGTTTAACATTAAGACATGGTTAAATGTCTTACTATTAAAAAAAAATCCATATATTTTAAACAAATACTTTGGAAATGCTCTGCGCATAAAGCTTACAATCTATGTGTTTGGTGATACTCTCACAGTTTTGTACATGTGACCGGTTTTACTCTCAGTAAAATGTTTTTGATGAATAAGATGAATGAACTAAGGTGAAATTGAACAGTAAAGGAGTACTTCACCCAAAATCAAAAGTAGCGTTCACACTGTTTTGCTTCAGAGTACTAAACCGCTTTGCAAAATTCTTAGAGAATCACCAGGGTGTGATGTCACTTGTATATAAAGCTGACAGGTTAAAACCACAACAATCTGAAAAAGAGGCTATAGTATAATGTGTCTCAAGGAGTAACCCAAGGTGTAACGTGACATGATGATCCTTTCAGTTTAACTTTCCAGGCAGTTTTTACAAATTGTTAACATAATTAGTATTTCTTGGCCGTATCCTAACCACGCCGCCCAGACAGAGAAAAGGCAAGCAAAGGGGATTTGTTTCTATGAATCAATTAGTTACAGCTCACGCGTCTGATGAATTGCAATAACTAATATGTTACTTTGAGGCAGTACATTGACTACAGCTATAGTTCACAATCCCATTCAAATATACAAAAAAAACACCTTTTCTGTATTTTGGCTGTGAAAGGATATGATTAGGCTTAACAACATAATC